CAGACCAAGCGCGACCTTGCAACATCCAAAGCGACCGAAGACGACAACGCGGTCCGCCTCTGTGAGGCTACCAACGCCATCCAGAGCATGGGCGAGCACATTCAGATGCTTCAAGCGGACCTGGATGGTCATGAGCAACGGGCGCTCCGTGAAGCGTCGGCGAAGGACGACGCCTTGGTCTCTCATCAAGATCGCATCAACGAACTACTGGGTCAGCTTGCCGTGGCCGAGTTGGCCGCCAGCAGCGCCCAGCCTCTTCACGAAGCGACGATCGAGACCAAGGACGAGATTCGCTGCCTTCACGTTGACCGTGATGATGGCATCCAGGAAGCAAAGACGCACAGTGGTGTTGTCGACGCACTCGACGCTGCAGCAACGACTACCGATCTCAGTCCAGAAGCCACCGAAGCCGTGTTGACAGGAGCCGAGGACGAGCTCCTGCAAGTGCTTCAAGTCGCTCGAAACCTGGTCCAAGCCACAGTAGCCGAGTGCCGCAAGAGCCTGGCGACGAACGACGCCGCAATCAGTCGCCACGAAGACGCCTACGACGTGCGCCACCACCACCCGCGCATCTCGGTGCATCGAGTCGACAGGCTAGCACCGCGACGATGGTAGAAAAGACCCTCTATATGTAGTGATATGAAACCTAATCCACAAACAATACAAAGACTTTAAACAGCCATCACGAGATGTCACGTGCGTCCTCGCCAGTCGCCAGTGGTCCAAGGAGAGGCTAACAGACTTGGTTTCCGCTGAGGTTGATACTTTGCAGCATGTAGAACTGTGTCTCGTACGCCGGCCGCGGGACATCAAATCCCATGTTAGAATCGTGGATCAATGCAGCTCTGGGCGCTGGGGCAGGCAAAAGTTGTAGAAGCTTCCTGGTGCAAACGACGTTGTTTTGCGCCAGCCACAAGCGACGCCCTTGAAGCCCTCGAGGGACACTGTCTACACATACGACATCATCCAACTTCGCCCTCTCTCCGATGCCACGGGTACCTTTGTTTGGATCGTCACCAGATCGTCGGGACCAGTGTAGTGCGGATCCAGAATCAAATACGCTACGTCGCCCGTTGACGCATGGATGTCAACACCAAGCACCGTGTACGCCATGGAAGCGCCGCCTACAGCGCACAGAATCGGAGGATCTTTAGAGCCACATCATTGTTTGTTCGTCGCACCCATCATGACGGGCGTTCCCTGCGACTCAAAATGGAGCGCGAGGTCGTGTGCCCGGGACGGCAAATCGGCGCCCGATGCACAGGAGAGGCTTCGAAATGTGATCTACGCACGTTCAATATCGCCTCTGCTTCAAGAACGAGCGCACCCCGTAGCGCTCGTCGAGCACAAACCCCACTTCGATCGACCCAATCCAGTCGGACGAGCCGAGAAAACGGGGCGGCTTGTCGCCAATTTGCACCAGTGTTTCTTGAATCTCACGGTGGGTCGGGACGGGAACCTACCAAGCATCGTCTTTAGCAAATCAAAGTACCGTGTGTTGATGACCGAAGTGTAGCGGTTGAAGACTAGCCACGAAGCCAGGGTCTGGAGCGACCGATACGCACAACCCCAACCCTATTCGATGCGGCATGGTCTTCAGGACGCGATCCAGAATACATGTTACCTTGTCGTTGACCCCTTGCTGCATGTAATGGTAGAACGCATAGTCGCCCGAGACAAGAAATTGAGTGCCACCTGCGACCTTGGAGGCTGAAACGCCCACGTGCACGTTGAGAAGCACGTCCGACGGTGGCTGTGTGCGCGACAGTGACCATGCGCACGCCGGTAGAAACGTAGGGTGGAGCGGCTGGTGAAAGAGAGCATGTAGGTGGTCGCGTGCCGACTGCGGGATCTCATGGCCGTCCAGAGACCATGCGGCAACCGGGTGCATCGCGCCATTATGCAGCGGAAACTGGTGGCACCGCATCTGCCTCGTGTCGGGCAGAAGATGCTTCTTGGATTCACGCAGCTACATCGCGGGTTGTGGGTCCAATTGGAGTGCAACGCGCAGCTACATACCTGGGCGGAGAGGCCGTGCGCCAGCGTCTGCAGCACAAACGCAAGCGACGAACGCGTCGGGACGCAGCAGACGATGTCCACGGTGATGGACAGACGATCTATCTCCCGGCATGAGACACGACAACCGGCAACCGTACTAGTACCGCGCAAC